CATGACTGACAGTTTTTACTGCTAATTCTTTATTAAAAATACTCACTGCTTATTTAAAAAAAAGAAAGGATGAGTTTAATATGAACTGGACATTTCAACTTAAGCTTTAACAGCTCCAAGAACATTAAATAAAATTGTATGTATTTCTAAAAATTTGTAATGATTACTTTTAATGCCATTCAGTAGCTAAATTAATGAACAGGTGTAGAATGGTAATTTTCAAGAGCTGTGTGTGCTTACTTTTTTTGCTACACAAGTGCAAAAGTACTGATGGTAGAATTTTTTTCTTAATTACGTCTCTGATGTATTTCAACATGTTTGTGTATGTTCTTTGCCATGATTATCATTAGTCTTGTTTAATGTATTTTAAACTTATATAACATTTTGTTTACTGTTTTCATTTTTTCTTTAGACCCTAAATGGGTTTCAAGCAGTGCACTTTGTGGGATTAAATTAGTTCCCAGCTGAAGGTATCACTAAAGGTACACACTTGAGCTGCACATGCGTTGCATAATGTAAGATGAAGAGAAAACAATCCCTTGCAGTGTATTGCATCAGCTTTTTTCCTCCAACACTGATAAACAAATATGTTGTTATTAACGAAGTAGAACTCTAATCTAAATTAAAAAAAAAACCAAAAAAAAAGTAGGTTACATAATGTTGGTGTTTAGTTCTATATTTTCTGGTCTTTGAAAAGATATCTGTGTGTGCTAGAACTACCTTTTCCCCTTTTGCTTTATCATATTGGCTCTCTTTGTCTTTCCCTCTCCTGTCTGCTTGAGGTAAATGGTAAAGAAAAGTAAACAGAGCTGAAACATTCTATAGGTGTCACTGGTGTGAGAATTACGCATTTGGGGAGTATTTTGTCATTTCAATGACTGTTAATTGTTTGTCTTAAATGCTTGCTTCTTTCTTACTTCCCAAGTGAATGGGGAAATAGTTTTAAATAACCAAGAGTATCATTTTCTCCATTTCTTCAAAACAAAAAATCCACACATGTATGTGTGCCTGTTTGTGTGTGTGTGTGTATATATATGTGTGTGTGTGTATGTATTCCAGATAAATCCAAATATTAATCTACATAAATTTGTGTGAAAAGGGATTAACTTTCAAGAAGAAAAACGAGATGTAGGGTGGGGGGATTTAAAAATGCTTTGCATCAACACAACAGAGGTGTTACCACAGACCTGGTGATCTGAAATACAAGAGGACAACCTCAAAGGCCCTTTTGAGTCTGAACTCTACTGTGCTGGTATGCATGCTTCTTTCATGTGGTAACAAAATGCTTGGGCTTCTGGACTCTCTTACTGACAACTTGTGAAGGAGGTATTTGTCACTCTTGCAGAGAGTGACTTGCTAGAATACCTCGACAGGCTTAACCACTTATTGAAGGATTCTGCCATCATTCTGGCGCTGTTAGTGCAGTGGAGGACTGACATAAACTTGATTAGTGAGTAAGTTCTGGGTAGTGAGGCAGGTGAGCCATGAATTTGGAAGGCTGAATTTGGATCAAGCCTTATTTAAGGTGGGAAAAAGGTTATTATGTGTTCTGAAACCAGAGAAGCAAACTTGGGCAGGGTACTCAGAGGTGAATGGCTAGCTCAGCAGGGAGTTGGGTGGGAGATGGACCCTGTGGAATAAAGCTTCAGACTTGGAGAGCTGACCTGTTTCTTCTAGGGTCCTATTGCTTAACCAGTTATTGTGGTCAGAAAGTAAGTAAATTTTCTCTCTGCTATACCTTTTTTTCTAAAATATGACCATCTCTGTTATGGAAACCTGGCTGTGACTGTCAGTAGCTCTGGGTACTGACTGAGACTTGTCAGTTTGAAAAAAAGCTGATTTTGAATGAAGATATAAGCCAGTGCTGTTACCGAAGTGCTGTAATGAATAATCACAGCACTAAACTCCAAGGTCTGTATCAAGTAATACAGGTGCTTTAGCTTCCAGATTGATTTTTCATCTTGCTTTTTTGAGCTACCCTATGTTGACTGCTATAAAATCCTTTTTTTGTCTCTCCCTCTGTTTCTGTGGCATCAAACCAAAAAGCACGTCTCATCTTTAAACAGGCACTTGTGAAAGGAGTACCTGAAAAGGGTTGGGAGGTTGGTCAGCAATAGTATATTCTGCATTCTGAAATGTCTCAAGTAGCTTTTTATTTATTTAATTATTTTTTAAAATTTTGTAATCCGTAGTCCTGTTACAGTTGAGTCACTGCTACAATGGACTAAGCGGTCAGAGGGAGAGAGCCACTAACAGAAGAGGGAAGAGCATGGTTTTTGATAGCTTTCTAATGCTTAATGTAATCACAAGCATGGGTCAAACTGTGTTGGAGAAATTTTAGTAACTTAATGTCTCTTTCTGCCTATTAGTCTTAGGTTGGTAAGATTGGTGTTGATGCTAGCCTGTATTGTGACTTTGATGCAGTCACATAAGCATCTGGTTCTAGGATTTCTCACATGTTTTTTTGTGAATTGGCATAAAACTAACTTAAAGTCTTTGGAGTCTCACACTTGAAAAGATAAGAACCTTTGGAAAGAACATCTTCTCTGGTCTTTTCCAAGTGGAAAAGTTTTAATCTAACCCAGACATCATATATTTATAAAATGGATGATTTGTAAGTGGTGGTGTTACAGCCCTTCAGGCTTAAGCAGGTAAGAGTAGCCATGGTTTGTTATAAAACTTCTGAACATTTGGTCTTTTGTGTTCTAAATGTGGTTACTAGTTTCACAGCCATTAGAGGAGTGCAATCTGGAAACAGGTGAGGAGGGATAATAATGAAAATTGGTCATTTGCCCTGTACGGGCAGAATTACTGTTGTGAATTCTCACTCAGCCCATCCTGTGTGTGTCTGTTTCTATAAAATATTGTATGCTTAAAAGCTGAACCCCCAAAATATCTTTCTTTTTTTTTGATACTGTAGTAGCCGAGTAACTTAATCCGTGTTTTGAGTTGGGCTCATATAACACCTTTGCCCTTGAACTCTTGCTCACAAAGGTGTTTCTCTCGCTTGCTGTGTCTGATCAGGTGTATGTGAATTGCCACTGTAGGAAAAAAGTTACCTTTGTGTGGGGTGAGGTTTGGTAACAAAAACATTTATGTTTCTCTTGTTTTCTTTTACTACTTAATATTTTTGTTACCTCTGCAGTTTTGCAAGCCACAGGACTGAAATGATTACACACTGAAATGTGGGTGTATTATCTCAGCTGGTTACAGAGCAGGTTTGTCTTTAGTGTTTGCAGCTACTGTGACAAGTATAGTACTCTGTGAGTGGATTGTGAGGGTGTGTGGTGTTCAACATTTTAAAGACTCAATCATATATGGAAATCTGGAGGGTTTAATTCTTAAACAGATGAAGTTCGGAATAGGTCACTCATCTTCTTGAGTAATTTCTCACACCTGTCTCAACAGACATAAATCTAGGCTTTTCAATAGCTTCTGTTCATATAACAGACCTCTAATTTTTATTGCTTTCTCATGGGACACCTAATTTTTAACTCTTGGGTGGTTTTTGTTTGTTTTTGTTGAGCACCTGATTTTATTTCCTTGTTTAATTGAGAACAATTAGTGATAAGGGTGTGATTAGTTCATGGAGTGTCACTTTAGGATTTTAAATGGTACATCGTTATGGTTAAAGGGTCAGTGCTGGTGGGAATTTTGAGTATTATCTGTGTATTATCAAGTTGATGTGTAGCTCTGTCCTCTTACAAATATAAAGCAAGCTGGACATATTATGTAGTTAGGCTTGCAGAATAATGGCAGGACAAGGGGAGAGCAAGTATTGCATTGTTGAATTGTCTTCTCCATTTAGCTTTTTTTGCTTTAGGCTTTTTAGAGGTAGCAGGGCATGAGGGAACTATCTTGTACTAGCTTAGTTAACACTGGTATGAAAATGCCCAAGGTAAACTAATTATTCAAGCGGTATAAACCCAGTAGAATTATTTGGTGCCACATGTTTTCCTAGTGGTAATATGTATAAGGAGAAAAATAGTTTTTTTCTTTTGTTCTATTTTTTTTTAAGTAGTTGAAACTGAGGTTTTGGGGTTATTCTTCACACTAAAAACTAACATCTTTTCTTAGGAGATACCTGTAATGAAACCCATGCTGATGAAATTAGTACAGCAAAAAACAATACTCAGAGAAGAAAGGCATATTTAGTCTGCTTAAAACTTCCTCTTAATTTGACTTTAAAGTTTTTCGGTTACTTTCGAATGACTTAAAATGTTCATTAAGTTTAATTAATGTTGAGCACATTAAATTTCTATTCCTTCAGTTCCAGGTATGTTATGTGATATTTAAAAGGAAATTAATCCTTGTTAATGGGTTTACTTAATTAATACTTAAGAAAATTCTGTGAGAATTAAGTATCTTAAATTATGCAAAAAATCAGCATATATTTTAAATATTTCAATACCACGTTACTTTATATAATTTTAAGTACTGAATATAATGCTAGCGAACCTTGCTAATTAAAAATAAATCAATTTAAAATATATGTTATTTTCTTACTTGGTTTCGCTCTTTACCAGTGACAACATAAATAATTAGTAAAAACCTACCTTTGTGTAGTGTGATAAACCTCAAATTATTTATCTTACTGGTTTTGGATGAAGAACTTCAAATGGTATTGAGTTACTAGTATTTCAACAGGGGGCACTCACGTGCTTTGAGGTAACACCAAATCACTGTATTTTTAAAAGAGCTTGGAATAAACTGGAGCTGAAGATAACAAATTTCCTGTGTTAAAATGTATAAATATAATTTGATAGTGCTTTGGAAAATTGGTCATTGTCATATTAACATTTTCATTTCATGTTCCTCCTAACTTTGTAAATTTGCTTTGTTTGGTTATTTTACAGTATGTTGGGGCAGTGCATTCATTTTGCCTTGGACAGATTCTAATAGATGCATTATTATGGTTTTCTAGCTGAGTTGCTATTAGTGTGTTAAGATTGAAGACTTGTAATAATTAATCAAGAATTTAATAAATATGTTCTTTCCAGCTAAAAAGACAGTAGAAGAATCCGAAGAAAAGAAAGTAGTTCAGTCAAAGAAAAGGGTTAAAGAGTTGAGAATTTTGGATGGAAAAACTGCACAAAATCTATGTAAGTGATGTGAAATGCATTAGGTGAATATTTAATTAGCATGTACACACATGACTGTTCTTAAATGTTTTTTGTTTATATGTGCAATATTCTTTATCTAAAAACTGGCTAATGTGAACATGAGTCTTCAGAAGTTTTTTACATGTATAGTGAATTCAAATCATATGTAACTTGGAAAAACTTAAAGTAACATGGAAAAATGGTGTAGATTTCAATGTTTATGAACTGTATTTTTTTTTTTGTAACAAAATATTGATTCTTTTATTAATTACTTTAGACTGGAAGTATAATTAAATGACAATCATTGGTTCAGGGAAGGCACGGTGCTGGTAGGTTTTGTGGGTTGGGGTTGAGAGGCCGTTCCAAATGGTTCTTCCTGGTTAGAGCAATGGAGAAGTAGACCTTGATGGGGGTTAGACTTTTAAAGAGAAAAATATTATGAAATAGGGTAAGTTAGGTGCAAATACTGCTACTATAAATTGTAAGGAAAACAGCCCTATCTCTTTCTTTTTTTAAATTGCTGCTTCTCTCTTTAATTATGGGGGAAATCAATCATTAAGAGTAGTAGATTCTTGTATTTGAATTAGAAATACCATAAAATGTCACTAGTCCAACTATGTCTGTGGCAAATGAAGTGTATAAAACCAAATCTGTGCATTGTTTATTACCACATCCATGAGCACTTTTTCTTAAGCAGGAAATGAACTATGACACAAGTGATATAAAACTTCAAGTTTTGAAAATATGGATGCGGGAAAATCAGCCATAGTAGTTAGTTTGAATATACAGCACTTCATTAAAATGCTATACTAATCGATCTGTGTTAGGAATACTTTGTAGTTTATTGCATGGGGCTCTGTTGAGATGTTATAACATCCTGAGATCAAATTGCTTGGAGAGCTCCATCTTTGAAGGTTTTACAATATACATTTTTTCTTGTATAAGTTTTGTTACCCTAAAAGGTGGTAGAGTTTGGGGGCTTTTTTTGTTTGTTGGTTTTTTGTCTTCGCCGAGCTCTTAATTATCCTTTTGACATGGAATTTTTTTCTAGAATGTCATGTAAATATCATTCACCCAATTGTAAACGGAGTACAACTATTCATACATGATTATGAAAGCAAAAAAAATAATAGGTAAAGTCTTCTACTGGCTGAATACGTCTCTTTAAGTAGTAATGTAGATGTTGCCATTCATAAAAGTAGGACTATTGCTAGAGGTAAGTAACACTGCTATGGAGCAACTGAGGCTGATTAAACAGTTGAAAGTGTTGTCGTAGTTTAATTTCTTAGAAATGAAATTCATTATAAGTCAAACTGCAATAGTGTGGCTCATCTAGTGTTTGTTTTATGTAGAAAACTTCTTAATTGTGAACCATCTTATTTTGGATCAAGATATGATTTTTCAGTTAGTAGAAATTAAGTTTGCCTTCTTATATCAATCTTGTTGACCTTTTTGATACTAATTATTTATTACTGAATTTCAGCAATATTTTTGGGTTCTTTCCGTTTGCCTTACGAAGAAATAAAAAATATAATTTTAGAGGTTGATGAAGAGAAGCTGAGTGAATCCTTGATTCAGGTATGTGAAAATATCTCTGGTTTTGTTGATAGCTTGTTGTCCGTGTAAAAATGCTGTAAAGGTGTAAAAATTCAAGAGTAAGAGTAGTGTAGAGTTTCCTGGATGTCAGCTATAAGGGTATCAGTTGTGTTTACTGTTTTGTTTATTTCACTTCTGCTTTTGAATATGCTCACATGTAGCCGTAAAACTGTCTTTAAAAGACACTGTTAACAAAAGTACTTTTGAATCTCTTGCTTTATAAAGTTTCCCTTTCAAAAGGAAAGCTCTGATAATTCTAGTTTTTCAGTTTCCAAGACAAGCATTTACTAGATTCAGGCTGGTGAATAATGAAGTTTCATCAGGCTTCTTGTGGAAACAACTCAGCTTGTCACTAATGATAGATGAAACTACCTGAATGTTTCAGGATACTGCTACAACCCGTCTGTAAATCAAACCTGCTCTCAAGCTGGTTTGGTCTTATTTTGAGCCCCAAACCTCTCAGCTGGAGAGAAGGAGGTATGGAATACAGCTTCTTTACATCCCTCTCTGATTTCCTCACAGTAGGAGGAGAGCAAGTGTGTACACTGCCCCTCGTGATCTCCTGGGAGTGACAGTGTAACAGAGAAACATGTAAACCTGGAACGGTATACAGATATGTGGCACACCAATGATATTGGTGTTGAATTGGTTTATTTTAATATCATACACAGATTCAGATTCTAGCTGACATACTGGGCCTCAGTTTGTTCTTTTGTCTTTCCCCATCTCCTGCTTGCACCTTTGTCCCATTCCCCCCTAAGGCTTTCTAAATTAATTTCTTCTTCCTTTCTTGGACCTGGAAAATGGTTATTCCAGGGATACTGGGCTGAAGTGGGTTGCCCGGTCCTTTCACAGTTATACAATTCATAACTTCTTCAAATTTTAAAATGAATGCTTTTTAATAAAATTGCTATGTTGCAAAACATACAGTGTAAATGAAATTTATCAAATTAAATTTGCTTGTCCTTCATCTGCAGTTTTTCTTGTGTCACCAAGGCCCTCCTACATTTCTGGAGTTTCGGTTTCTTGAGGCTCTAAAAGAAGGGCTGCTGTTTTCTCATAGACCTCGAACTCTTGAACTCAACATACTGTTAAATTTTCTCATAGTGTCATATTCTGAGACTTATACTACCTAATGTGTTTGGAACTATATATTTGTTATCCAAAATTCTCATTCATATTTTATTTGGGAAATTGTTGGGTTGTGGGGTTTTTGTGGGTTTTTTTTAGAGGAGGGTGGGGTGGATTGATATGGCATAATGTTTTTGGAAGTTCCCATTTGATGGGAAACTATTTCCAGTCTGACTTCAATAATGTGTTTGACTATGGTGTCCTGCCTCAGGCCATGTCAGAATGAAATTGATAAGCCTTTCTAATATATGTTTACATTGCTAAAAATACTGTCTTTGACCACTGAGTATGTTTTCTCACAGAAAGCTTCTGCACATGTTATGTAGTTATTTGGAAATCAGTCAGAAATTCTAAGTTTATGTTTATTGATCAGGGATATTGGATCATTTGATTGGGAAGCCTACAGGATTAGTAATATCAAAAATCAACAGAGAGGAAAAAACCTCACCTTGAATACCTTAAGTGCAGAATAGTTTCATATATTGGTGTAGTTATGTCTACAACAAATGTAGAGATATCTTGAGACCTAAATTAATAGAAATAGGATGTAATATGTTATGCTGAAGTGTAAGGTCATGATCTTACATGTTAATTGTAAAATGCTGGAAGCTAGTGTTGTAATGGTGGCTTATCAGTTGGAAATGATTGAGGATAACTAATAGTAAGTCTGTGCTCAACAGAACACATGCATAGCCACCACTTTGGTATAGCTGTATATGGAGCAGCTAAGCCCTCACCCAGTCGCAACCACTTGCCCTGGCCTACTCGTCAGGGGTGGTGGGACCACCCCGGCTTATTTGCAGAATGAGAAACAGGGAAGGCCTTGAAGCTGCACAAGCTCTGTTCAATAGTATTAAAAACATTGGTGTGTTGTCAACACTTTTTTGGTCATTGCTCCAAGAAACAGCACTGTATGGGTTGCTCTGAAGAAAATTAACTTCATCCCAGCCAGACCCAGTACACCATAAAAAAGGCAAATGTGATCGCAAGGTGTATCGGGTCAAGTATTTCCAGTAGAGAGGATAATTATTATGCTTTTGAATAATGCACTTCAAAGACCTTATCTAAAATACTCGGTACGTTTCTCAAAAAAGGATTTAGAATGGAGAAGCTGAACTTAAAAACTACTTAAGATGATTGAGGGATGGAGAAACAGTCTACAGAAGGAAGCTGGAAAACATTGGCTTGATTAGATTAGCAATATAAATAGCTGAGAGGGGATATGACTACATTATAACCATACGGGGAGAAGAGTGATGTGCATAAGCGTTGGGGAGAAAAATGAAGTTGCATAAGTAAAAGGCAACGTTAACACCAGAATAAATGTATATGAATTCATCATGAATGCAACTATCTAGAAACTCAGCTGCTTATAATCTTCAAAAAACTGAGGCTTTGGAGATAGGTCTGCTTCTGAAGGGAATGGTGTGGCAGAGTTGCTTCTAATAGCAGGGACATTCAGCTGATAACCCAGAAGAGATTCCTCCTGTGTTTCTAAAGATACAAATGTATTGCGGTAAATGGGCTGTATCATCTACTTCATGTTCAGTCTGTTCTGGTTTATTCTTATTCTAATCTTCTGACTGAGTTACTAACTAATTTACCCATTTAACAGTTTTCAATACTACCGATTGGAAAAATTTTACGAAGCAAACCTTGCTTTCTTAAATGCTTAGCAAAACTTGTGCTTTATAAAAATGTACATGCAGAAACTGCTTTGTTCTAAGTATCCAAGTGGTGAAAGCTAAACGGGTATAGCATAATTGACCATATAGAAAAGTGCTTTTTCAGTTATGCTTCCCAAGTCCTCATTTCTTGCTGGTTTTCAAAGTTACGTTGTAATACTTGCTAAAATTAATTGCATTAATCAGTTGGAGTACATGGTAGACTATCTACTGTTGTAACTCTTCCTTGAGGAAGACAGTGTAGGAAAAAATATTCTCAATTCCCAGTGTGTCTTTGAGAGAGTAAGTTCTTGTAAACATGCAGTTGTCAAACACCATGTTCAGCAGAATTCAGGGCGTTGTGACAGTGAGTAGTGAGTGATAGTTTCAGCCTCTTAATGTCAGCCTTAGATTTCTACTTCTTTAATGCCTGCTTCATCAAGCCTGGCAGAGTGATCAGTAATCAAATGCTTCTAATGAACAAGTATATTGCAAGAGTGAGGGCAGGATTGGCATGTTCTAAAAATAAGACATCTGTACCTCTAATAGAACACGTTTTCTGTGATTAAGTTTTTTTGTGTCTGGAAAAAATAGTCTTCTGTAGTGCTGGTTGCTTTTCTGAGTTTAAAAGGCACATAACTTTTTGTGGTATCAGAGTCTTTTTGTGACGTAAACCTAAACAGTCATTATCTGTTCTCTGATAGTGTCAGTGTGCATGTCCTTTCTATTTTAACCACATCTTATGGAAACACATGGCAATGCACTCCTTCTGACAGGAGGGGAGGAGAACTTCTGTGCTAGTAACCTAACCAAGTTAAAGTCACATGTTCTGAAATGTTTTACTTCTATGACTAGTGTTGCAGAAAGTATCAAAAGATTTAATTTTTTTAGCTGTAACACATTACTTTATCTTCACTAAAATCTGTGTTGTCATTAAAATCCTATAGAATTGCAACTCCATAGATGCTTTATTGGAAGTAAACCTCTAAACCTGGTGGTTCTACCGTTTACTTAAGCAAGGTTCAAAGGGCAGCTTTATAATGTAGGAGCTTCTTGTTGAAGAACATGGACTTACCCCTTTTCACTTGAATATCCTGGGACCATCTGTGTTTGTGTAGAAGAAAAAATTATTTCTGTGTGAAGACATTTTTGGTTTTTCTTAGTTATTTGGTACAGGAATCGTTGCACTGTGGAGTTGGGTGAATCTCATGTTGATTTTTCAGAAGTTATTAATAACGGAAGTGCATTACTTCTTTGGCCTCTATATGCATTTTAAGTGTCTATAGATTATCCAGCATACAGGAACAGGTTGCCTCCTTTTGTTATGTGGTTAGGAAGTTGCCCCCTCCAAATTCTCCTAAGGGCCACAGTGGGAAAGGAGGAGGGATGCTGTGTTCACCTAGATCTGGAGGTATCTCTGCTTCTCTTCTATAGGTAAATGTCTCCAACTCCCTTTGATTTCTTCAGTGGCTAGTGCTTGCCCATAACTCAGTGCCCTTTGAAAGACCACGGAATACACTTGCTTCCAAGCTACTACAGTGTTTTGGATTCCATATCCAGTATCCAAAATATTACATTATTTTTGTTTCTTAATTTTTCTTGTCGTAAGTCTTTAATGTGAACAAAGGCGGTTAGCGGAGATTGGAAATGAAGTAAATGGCACCCTCTGTGTGGACAGCTGTAGTGTAAACATATCAGCTAATAATATTTTAATACACTTTGTTTTTTTGATTGTAAAGTTTATGAATCTTTTTGAACAAAAAAGGCCTATTGACTCATGCTTGCTTGCTTGAATGTAAATGTATACTTTTTTCCTTGAAGAGTTACATTATTGTTTTGTTTTCAACTAACATATATATCAAAATTTAAATACAATCTAAACTTTTACGGAGTATCTCTTAAAGTATTCTTTAGCCTTAATATAAATATTTTATACATTTAGCATGTCTGTATTTAGAGATGTTAAGATCATATAATCATACAATTTTCTTTGGGGACATGGGTAAGATATCAAGCAAGTTCTACTTTTTGCTGAGTTTCATTATATTTGCCATCTGTACAATTATGAGATGTTGCTTTTTTTTGTGTAAGGTGTTTTTAAGTGAAGTTCGTGCACAACTATTTTGAATGTCTAAAGTTTTTTGGTTTTTAGGTAGTTATGCCTTGTTTTACACAGACCAGTTATTTCTTGATTAATATTTAATGAGCAAGATATAATCACAAGGGCAAAATAAGGTTGTAGATGGAGTGTAATTCTTCAGGGTCTGACAGCAACAAGGAGTTTTGTCTAACTTTTTAATACTGAGAAGACATTCTTCAAATTAGAGACTGTAACAGAGGTGCTGATGTCTGTATTAAATAATTACTGATTTGATTTGATGTTTATATAGTGTTAAAGCTGTGTAAATAAAATAAGCTTCCCATAATTTCCTCATGCATTTCCATGTTGTGGTATTTTAAGTGTGTTATTTTAAGATCTCAGCTAGTTTAATACAACAAATTTAATATAATGCCTTGTTTGTTTTAGAACCTAGTGAAGAATCTTCCGGAGCAGACAGAACTCAATGCCTTAGCTGAATTAAAGGATGAATATAATGATCTTGCTGAGCCAGAACAATTTGGAGTTGTGGTATGTATTAGTGCAATAATTAACTGGAGAGTTCTATTTTGTCAAATAGATAAAAAAGAAAACTTTTAGGTTTAAATTATTTTGGTTAGTGTTTTTGCAAGTTTTACAGTAGGAAAAAGTTACCATCTATTTACATATTAGGTGTTTTTCTGGAAGAAATTATGGTATGCAATTAAGAGCAACAGGCACTCCTGTGCCAGACCAATCTTTTGTCTTACTGTCTTGTCTTGTATGTTTATTAAACAGTTACGGAGAACACTCTAGGTTCAAGTAGTTAAATTTCCAAGAGTTCATAAAAAACCCCATAAATGAATAGCATTGACAACTTTGATAAATTTATTCTGCTGTATCAAAAAATGTAAATACCTGAAAGAGTTAATATGCCCATAATATCTCATGTCAAGTTAAAAAAAAAAAAAAAAGAGGTGTAGTTTCATGTTAGAACTGTAATTGTAGATCATATTCTGTTGCTTTTGTTAGTGTTCAATACATATATCTATTCCGGAAGTAGGGTTATCAAGTCTTACGATGGCTAGAACCTGTCTCCAAAAGAAATTATAAAATTTGCATAAGTCACCCTAATATATGCTGGTAGTTAATTGTATGATACTTTCTGTTTCTGGTCTTCCAAAGACCTGATAGGTCCTTAGGCAAAGTAGTTCCTGTTTTCGCTTCACTTTGTCAGTCTAAAAGATTATAATGATGGCTTCTGTAATGTGTTTAGAATTTCTCTCTAATTCCACAGGAGCTAGGTTTGTTCCTGCTGGATTTTTATGGTGTTATGTACATTAAAATGTATTAAAACAGAAATAGAGGTCTATTAAGAGGAAAGAGTGGAACAGCTTTTTACTAAAAAGCTCTGATTTGAGCATAATTTGGCTTCAGAAGTGTCTTTTGAGTGATTTTGGGGGATGGGGACACATTGGAACATAATTTGACCTAATGAGATTTTTGTAGAGGATTTAGAAAATGAAAGATATTAATGATGTCTTATGAAAAACTTTAGGCTATTGATTTTATTTTTTTAATAAAAGGCATAAAGTTGTGAAAATGTTTTGTTTCAAAACAAAGATGAGGAATTTTGGTGGAAGTGTGATACATTGGTTAGTCTTATTGCAAGGTCTGCAGTAGTAAAACATTACTATCTATTCATTGATGAGTAACAATCTAAAAATCTCTACACATGTTTGGTACTTTTCTTGAAGGAATTATGGCATGCAGTATATTAAAATACAGTATAATATGTTCATATAATACCTTTTAGATGGAGATTAAAACTTATGGATATATATTATATGCATATATATTATATACATATATTCTATATTATGTTTTATATACATATATGTGTATGTATATAAAAAAAATCTGTTTGAAAGCACTGGATGAATACTTGGTTCCCTCTTTGTCATGTAACACACACTTTCAGAGTGACTAAAACAATGTGATGAAACAACAGTAGTACTTTCAGCCCTACAACAAGATGGGCTTGTGATCCCTGGGAAGGCAGGAAGGCTGGAACAATTGCCCTGTCTACTCTCTGCTTTCTGCTTGTTTTTGAAATGGCAATGAGCAAGGGATGCCAGGGAGTGGCTGATTTAATAAATGAATATTTCCTTATTTCCCTCCCACGTAAATAATGCCAAACAAGTGGGAAATTACTTAGATTTTGTGCCAGGAGAATATCTGAAATGTGTCTAAGGAAAACACAGAATGCAAGCAAACAAGGTGGAGGCATTAGGACAAATGAAGACTCTGATGTCTATGAATGCTATTCAGTTAACTATTTAAAATAAGCAAAGAAATTCAGGAAATTGTGCATAATGGCCTTGATTTAAAAGACTTTGTAGATATTTCTCTGCCTTACTGCTGTAAGTTCCTTTATGTTTCACCCCTGATCTTTAGAACTTGGATCCTTTCCCAAGTCAATCCCTTCTCCTGCCACACATCGCCCTTTTATAAACATATGTACCTTGTCGCATCTGCTTCAGCATTTCTCCCCTATTCAGTTTTACTGCTTTCCTCTCTATAGCTTTTATATAAAGATATTTCTGGGTTAGTACACTGTTTATCTGCATCCTCCCATCATGCTGCTCTATGGTGGGTAGTAGTAAATTACCCTTCTGCTGAAGAAAGCTGTAACCGTGGCATTGCATTCAATATTCAGCAACCTTTGTGGTCAACAGTGTTTTCCTCATATACAGTCAGAATTTCCTGAGCGCCGTCTTGTATTTTGTTTCTTGTCCTATCAGCATGCACCTTCAAGAATCCTACAGTTCCATCTTCTCTTACCTTCCCTTTAGGCAGCAGCAGATAACAGAGTCAAGAGCAGCTATTCAGAAAAGAACAGGTCTCGTGGATTAACCCTGGTAGGCAGCTAAGCACTGCGTGGATGCTTACTCACTTTCCCCTCCCATCCCCAGTGGGGTGGGGGGAGAAGAAAGGAAGAGTGAAAGTGAGAAAACTGATGGGTTGAAATAAAAATAGTTCAAGAAGTGAATAAGTAGAAGAAGAAGAAAGAGGAAAAAAAAAAAGGCAAAGAAATAAAGGGAATCACTCACCATCTCCCATGTGTAGACTGATGTAGCGTCAGTTCCTGAGCAAATGATGGCTAACCTACCTAAACCCCCATCCTCCATGCTTTATTACTGAGCATGACGTTATATGGATGGGGTATCTCTTTTGTTAGTTTGGGTCATTTGGCTGGCTGTGTCCCATCCCAGCTTCTTGCACGCCCCCAGTCTATTCACTGGGTTGCGCAGAGTGAGAAGCGGAGAAGGCCTTGACGCTGTGCAAATGCTGTAAAGCAGTGAGGTGTTAACAGCACTGTCTTGGGCACAAGTCTGAAACACAGCACTCTACGGGCTGCTATGAAGAATAATTCACTCCATTCCAGCCAGACCCAGTAAAACAGGATTAGTCAAAGTTTATTCTGTTACTACCAAGGTTTGTGTGCTTTGCCTAGACTTGCATAGAAGCATATGGTTTTTAAGAACTGGGATAACTGTATCTGACCACTTACGCAGAGATGATGTGCTGGCTGGTTTTTTTGTAGATAAAATTATTTCCCCGGTTTCACCTCTGTGCAGAAGGTATTATGAGATAGATTCATTAATGTCTGCAACTTCATTAATCACCTAGTCTGAAATTTTGGCAGGTCATAGGACAGGCAGGATCAGGTTTTGAATTTTGCACTAATTTGGTTGTAGTTGACTAACGGCTTTTTCATTTTGGGTATATGCTGTTATGCTGCTGGAAATGAAAGACTGAAAATAAATTCAAGGTGTAATTATTATAGATACCAAAAGGCTCATCCAAGGCAGTGGAAATGTTTTTTGTAAAGTAAAGAAAACGTGCAAAAAAAGTTTATTTCGTTCTTTGCCACACATTTAGCTTCATCCTCATTGGATAAGTGTGAATTTGATAAGCGGAAGGGTGTAGCTGATACTCTAGTTTAACTGTTTGTGTATGAATTGTCTGCACAATGAGTGTAAATGTCAGTGTAAAACCTAAGTTTTCTGTCATCAAATGTGAAGTATTGAGATAGTAAAAAAAACCTTAAGGTTATGAGAACACTTGGAGAATGTTTTTGTTCTCATATTCGGAAGATTATTTCTTTCCAGATGACTACAGGTTAGAAGGAATAGTTCTTTTGCTTTGTCTTGATGTAGTGGTAAAACAGAAGTATTTAACGAAGTTGCCAATATGTAAGTAGTGTGTATTAAGTGTGCGTAGAGTGCTCCAGCGTGGGCTTCCCACGGGGTCACAGCCTCCTTCGGGCATCCCCCTGCTCTGGCGTGGGGTCCTCCCCGGGCTGCAGGTGGAGATCTGCTCCCCCATGGACCTCCCTGGGCTGCAGGGGGACAGCCTGCCTCACCGTGGTCTTCCCCACGGGCTGCAGGGGAATCTCTGCTCTGGTGCCTGGAGCATCTCCTCCTCCTCCTTCACTGACCTGAGGGTCTGCAGGGTTGTTGCTTTCACATGTTCTCACTGCTCTCTTTGGCTGCAGGTTTTTTTCCCCTTCTTAAATCTCTTCTCCCAGAGGCACCACCACCATTGCTGACGGGCTCGGTCTTGGCCAGCAGCAGGTCTGTCTCGGAGCCGGCTGACATTGGCTCTGGCGGACATGGGGGAAGCTTCTAGCAGCTTCTCACAGAAGCCACCCCTGCTACCAAAACCTTGCCATGCAGACCCAATACACAGTTCTTTTGAGGAATGACCAACTACAAAAAGTTGAGAAAGAATGTAAAAGTATTTAATGGAACATTAGTTAGAAAAAATTGCTTAATCAAACATCTCCAAATGGTGATGTTTGCCTTATGAAGGGACTAAGTTTCCCAAAGCTTGTTTGCTTATTGAACATTACCATCTGGTTTAATAAAAAAATACTACATTTCTTTATGGGTAGTGATTCTGTGTTCTTTTTAGAGGCCTCTAACTACATTAATACTACTAAAATGCTGGTTTTGCTTCCGATTTTGATTTAATTGAACAATGTGGAAGAAATGCAGCTAAACTTTTAAGCGCTTTACTTGACTGAAGTCCTTTTTTGCTATTTGTTGAATTAATTTCAGTGTTTTGCATTAATAATAATCTTAACCGTGATGTTAAGAAGAATATGTTTAGGAATAGAAGACAGAAAGGCTATCTTAAGTAATATTTAAAATGTGTACCCTTTATTTGTATGTAAATTTAGGTGTGTTAATTATTAAGAGATGTTAATGGGATAATCACTGCCCATCAAATTTAATAAAGGTTTGAATAAGTTGTTTAAAATTTATGTAGAAAAACCATACTTAGTAAATGATTAAGTTGTTAGAAGAGACCGATTAACTTAATATTTGGATGATATGTAAATGAAAATTAGAATTGCATTTTCATTTAGATGAAATGTTGAAAACCATTATATATTCATTAAATTAGTTATTGGAACTGTTTTTGGAGTTATATCCTGGGATCAAAAAAGGCAACACAACTTCATATAAAGAAAAGCTTGCATTGATGTATAAGTAGAGCAAGAAAAATAGATTAACTGAATCCATTGTATAACATTAAATAAGCTAGGCAGAATGTTCTCTGTTACTTAAACATAAAACTTGTGTTTAAGAGTTAATTCTTTTATGACATGGGAAGAGCTGCAACTTCAGCAGGGATACTGGCTTTTGGTTTCAGTGCCAGTTGAACATTTTAAATATTATAAAAGCATAAGTCTCATCTGTGCTATAAAGTGTGAGTACCAACCATTTCATGTCAACTCAGAGGACAGGCTGAAAAGAAAAATAAAATCTTTTGCAGTGTTAGTGGTATTTAAACTCAGAAAACTTTTCCCACTTTTTACCCACTTTTTAAAAAGTGGCTAAAAAAAGTTGGTGGTTTTTTTTTTTTTTTAAATCTTGTGGTTGTTTTTTTTAACTTCAAAAGTTTAGAAATTTTTACCCACTTTACCACCAATTGTGAGTTCTGAATTCAAGTTAAGAAGAGTATCACCACTTGTAAAAAGATTACCCCACAGTTACATGGTGCAAATTTTAGTTAATAACTACCTCTTCAGTGAACCAACAAAACAAGTGACTGGAACTAACCAGAGAATTCCCTTTCTGGTGTGTGTTCTGAAAAAGTGGGAGAGATTTTTTGCTGGCTTCTAGTGAATGCAAAACTTCCTTCAGCTGTTAAGAACTGGGTTATCAGTAATTTCATTGTTAATGCAAGAGGATAGGTTTTCCTGAGTAGTTGTAGAGAGTTGCAGATTCTCTGACCCTTTTTTTGCTGTATAACCAGGATTAGCTATCCTTCCTGGGAGGTAGATTAAGTGGGAAGACTTGTATAAGATCACTGCACCTGCATTGCTTTAGAGTCATTCAGTCACTTTAAATGATTTTATTTGCCACTTGTTTTGCCTCATTGTAATTTCTAGAGCTGCTGAAGAATTAATTTTTCTAGAACATTGCTAGGGAAAAAAAAAAAGGCAGCTTTATTATAGGTAAGAGGCTGAGTAAGTTGTCTTAGTAAGTTGACAAATTCGTATTATAAGAATGTCAGCTTTTTTACTTAGGAAGTGAGGCAAATTTAATTGTGCTTTTTGCCTTTCTCCAATAACCTTTGGTCCTAGTTTTAATACAGGGCTTGAGCATTAAATGATGATAATGAAGAGTAAAGAACTGAATCAAGAACTTGATTAGGTGGAGAATTCAGACAACGACCTTTATGAAAGCCCAGAAGGGCAAATAATGACGTGCAGTCCGGTGCTTACAGTTGGCTGGAAAAGAAATATCCATTTTCTTGCTGCTTTAACTATTCGTGGTGGAAGCTAATGCTTGCTGTTACATGCACCTATTTGAATGTGTTATTTCTTATATGCCTTTGACACTAATTTTGTAGAATTATAAGCAATTTGACCTTTTTCTAAGTGAATATAATCTTTGCACATTACCTATTTTCAGAAGATTCCTCTAAGTTCAACATGTTTATCAGCCATTGAACATGTGTTTTTAGAAACATGCATACGAAAGAAAGCAGGGCAGGCTGGGGAAGGAGGAAATAAAATAGCATTTGTGGTCATCTTCTATTGATAAGAGCATAATGAATATAAAAATGTTTTGAATTCTAAGGAAACAACCTACTTGAAACAGCTGTTATGAAATTAAGGTACTTTTAAAATATTATGCAGATCAGCAAATGAAATTAAAACTTACTGCTGGTTTGGAAGTCAAACTACCTTGCAAAGCAAAAAAATGATCAGTGTTCCATGACACTTCACAGCATTAAAAAAAGAAAGTAAGTACAAATTGAATGAAGTGTTACAAAGGATTATTCTTCACAAATGTGTAAGTCACACTGTTCTGTTGGCTTATAGGTGTTTTGTTGGCCTCTTTTCAGGATCTAAAGCTTTTGACAACTTTTTTCTGTGCCATTTTCAGTAAAAACAGTAATTGGAGATTGTTCTACAAAAGTTAAAGCAAATTATGTGATCAATTTTGATTTCCATCTACTGCAGCTCAGTGAAGGTAAATCCTTTCGAGGCAGATGTTTTCAGTATGATATTTTGGAAATACAGAATGATTAGAAGAATAATGTTTCAAGACTTTGCATGATGCTGGCTTATAAAGACTCACAGAGAAATTTGTGACAATGGAGAAGTATAAAAAAAAATCGCAAGTTATGCTGAAATGCTGCTTTTCTGATCCTTTCCTTTTCCTTGTTCCTGTCTGATCATATGAATTGTTTGAGACCATCTGGAGTGCCTTCGTATTTATATTCATTTTGGTATGAATTCATCATTATTCAGGCCACACAAGTCTTTCCTGTGAAAGTTGTTGCCGCCGTTTCTGGTAGCGGGGTCTGGTAGATAATACCAGTAGAAAAATTGTGGTTCCTCAAAGAACCATGGTAAACCTTTGGGCAACAGAGACATGATCACATAAAAATCTTTCTGTTTTGCTAGTCAAGATCTGTGATTTGTCACATAACAAAGCTCTTCTTTCAGGGGGCACAAAATGCTTCAGGAACACCACTGATAATGAGTACATTGGGGGGGGAGATCATTTTGTATTCTGCTAATTAAAATTAGGAGTTAGATTTGGAAGGTAATCATTCTTACATTTAAACGAAAATTTTCAAGTGGTTTAAAAATTCTCAGTACGTATTTTTCTTTTAAATTTAAATATCTCTTGTGAGTTACAGTCTGCTGCTAAGGAGGAGGAAATATTACTGATCACTTGTGCAAAATATGAAAGACATGGACATATTTTGGTAGCTAGTCTAATGAAATTGGTCTTGGGGATTTAAACTAATGAATCACTGTTTTAGATACTTTTCAGTATCTCTGTCATTTACCATGTTAGAACATTGTGATTTATAACCGCCAATCTTTTTGTCAGATCAGGAAGCAATTAGTCCTATATTATGTCTGAAATATAAAGGTGATAGTATCTTGGGCAATAGTGTTACAAAATTTGTTTAAAAGGACAAGAAGACAAGGGGTTGAAAAGCAGGCAGTACGTTGCGTATGCAGTATGATGTCATGGGATCAGAACTGAAAGGGTATACCAGAAGTATATCCTTACTTTAGTAGCTAGGTACATTGCTTTTTATATAGAACTTACTGTCATGAATTTCAGCCAAACCTCTTTCTCTACCTTCTGAATCTGATTATGCTTTGGGATACACAGATTGGGGCTTGTTGATGGTGTGAACTTGAAAAGTCTTAGGATCAAATATATACCGTAGTGTATCTTTAAAATACCTTTGACCTTATTTGGTAACTATCAATACTGGTAGAATTAATATTATTTATTTTATAACTTGCTGTAAATGCAGATAATAACTGAACAAAAACCAGTTTGGGTTTCTTTTTAATTAAAACCTGCAAAAATAAACACCTTGTTAGATGTACCACTGATGTCATCTGTAAATATCACAATTAACAGCTCCCGTCAGTACAATGGCAGAAAATATTTCATGAACAATAGTACTAATGTGACCTGGCTTTATACAAATATTTGACTAGCGAAGCTTGACCTTCTGTGTCTGAAACTCACTTAGATATTCCCATGTCCTTCCACAAGGGTCCCTAAGAACTCATTGTGTCTCTCCCCTGTTGCTCTCCCAGTGACCAAGAGCAAGTTGAGAGCTATGTGTCAGCTCAGTAAGAGAGTCTGAAAATGGAAAGTATAATTCTTTAGCTTGAGCAGAATGAGGTGTAACTGGGTTTGTGCTGGTATCAGCACACACGCTTGAGAGATTGTTATTGTACCATTTCTGAGGGAAGAAAACCGGAGAAGCTTAGTTTTAGGAAATTGGTGAATACCAGAGTTCAAGGGTAACTTCACTGGAGGTGTGATGAAGTGTTTGCCATGTGTACCTTCAGGCTGATCTTTGGTTCTTCTTAACTGGCAGAATTGGTTTTACATTTCCTTTGCTGGGAGGAAGGGTTTTTTGGCAGTGTGCATTTATTGCCAGTGAGTTTAGAATTGATGAGTTAGATGGTTTGGTAGCACAGAGCATATTCTTATTTTCAATATGTTGCTTCACTGAATTTTTTCAGGCAAAGTGTATAATTTGGGGAAAAATACCAGTGGGTAGGTATGGATTCCTGGAAATACAAGATAGGCAATGAAAACATACAGAAACTGTAGTCTTGCTGGCTGCACAATATTGTTTTTTTTAATATAAGCTGTTTTGCATAAATAAGAACTTTTGTTTTTTATGTTCTGATTTAATGTTTCTTATTTTGTAGATGAGTTCAGTGAAAATGTTGCGATCACGTCTCAATGGGATCCTTTTCAGGCTTATGTTTGATGAGCACGTAAACAATATCAAACCTGATATTATGGCTGTTACACTGGCTTGTGAAGAGCTGAAGAAGAGTGAAAGCTTTAGTAAACTATTAGAGTTAGTGCTGTTCCTTGGAAACTACATGAACTCTGGCTCCAGAAATGCACAGTCTCTTGGTTTTAACATCAGTTTTCTTTGCAAGGTAAGACGAAGCTATAAAACTCTTAAGTGCAGATTCATGAAACTCGTGACACATGAGAAAGTACCCTACACAGGGAAAAACATTCAATCAATGTAGTTTACTGACTGCACCTCTGTTTTTAATAATGGATAGACAAATACTTTCTGGAGTATACAAGTGTACTCTTTCTGGAGTATGCAAGTAGAACAGCTTTTTTGATCTGAATTTGTTCAACTATCATCTTGTCAATAGAGTATATGTAGAATTCAGAATACATTAAATAGCTCTAGCTACTTGTCTTTCTTCCCATCTTCTCCCCAGCTATCCCTCAAGCAGTGTTACAGAAATAGGTATTTGGGATTAAAGATGAATATTGTTAAAGTAAGTTTAACTTCGATTGTGGTGGCAAAATATGGGATGCAACAAGAACTTCAGAACCTGTAGCAGTCAGAATTTAATGTGCGGTGCTTGTTTATTTATATGGTAAAATGTGTGTAAGGCATTGATCTGGACTTCACCATTTCAGTTTGTAAAGTACCTCTGAAAGTATCTTAAAAATAAAGAGATGCAACATTTGTAAACAGATGGAAAAAAAAAAAGAAAGCTAGCATAAGTCTTGCAGATGAATTTTTCAGTTATTTTTTGTTTGGTCTAATCAGAGGATCCAGGTTTCAAGTCCCTTTTTGGGGCACCATGAGGAAATCTGATGTGTACCTCAAGGAGATTTAACCTTGAGGGGAAAATAATACTTCAAATGCACAGCAAGTTTAATCTGACATATTTCACTAGAGAAAGAGTGTTTGCTGTAGTTTAATGCAAAGATGTTGCTAACTTCTGATAAAATAAAAACCATCACCTGAGAAAAACTTTCATTCTTTAGTAGCTTTTTTTAAAAGAGAGGCCAGGTTGAAGGATTTTTTCCATAGCTCTAGTGCTGCATTTTCTTCTTGGTAGTAGTGGAATCTGAAGGGAAATTAATGTTTTCAGTAGAAAACTACTTGTTAATGAGGGGGAGGGGAAATGATGACTGTGCATGAATGGTACTCTAGCATAGCATAGATTTGAGAAGGTATTCTTGCATTCCAGGTGATAGATTTATGAATTGCTGTCAATGCAAATCCCCCAGATGTTGACAGAGCTAATGTAGATTGAGTAATCCTGCAAATTGTTCTCTACTGAACTGAGTAATTGCTGAAGCATAGCTATTTGTGCTTACGGTTAAATTCCATTTAAAATAACTGAGACAAAAATCTATGACTATTTAATTCAACCTTGCCCTCAAACAAAATAATTTGTTAACTTTTTTTTCTTTTCAAGATAGATACTTGAGGGAAGTGTTCTCCCCTCCTCCCCGTGAGATTTAGAGAAAATACTTAAACGTTTATTCTCTGTAGTGAAATGTGGACTGTGCTAGGTATATTTTGTTATAAGGGGATGTCTAAAATTAAAATAATCACAAAGACAGTGATGGTTGTTGGAGCAAAAAAGGTGGTCTTACCAAAATCTAGATACGAAATTGTATCATTAATAGCTCTATATATTAATTAAACCTTGTGAATTATCATTCTTAAGTTCCAACTTGGAACAAGTCACTTAAGTTAACGGAAATGTAGATAAGCTTCTCTAGTCAGAGTAACATGTGCATTGTCTGCAATTTAAATTTGTTGTTTATTACTCGAGTTAAAAGAGATCTTCTGCTATGTAAACCTCCATTTTTCATTGTTTTATGTATTTGCCATTCTAATTTGAAATAGATTAGTATAATAATGTGCTTTTGCAAGAGTTATTTTTTCTTAAGTGGTTTTGTACCTGAACTTATGCTTTAGTATCATATTTAGAGAAGTAACCTTCTACTCCATTGATGTTTAACTTCATAAATAAGAGGTGTTTACACAGTATTCGCAATGGATTTTTTTCTTTTAATTGCTCTAAGAATCCAAATTTATATTTGGGTAATGACTCTTTTTTTTTTTTTTTTTTTTTAATGCTTTGTTTTTTTTCAACTGATAATTGCATTTGGTTTCTTTGTTTAATAGCTTTCAAATTCTGCCTTCCTGTTTTCCACCCAAAATAGTAAGATGGCTTTATTGGCGCTGTGCTATTAACTAAGACTGCAGTCTGGAAGGCCTTTATTAACTGTTGTGAATAGTACAAAATATTAAACTGTATCAGATGGTAGTATCTTTTATAAGCACCGGGTTTAATATCTGTCTACAGCCATTTACAGCTTTATTACATTATTCAAACAGTCTCAAAATTTACGATTGTTAGTCAATAATTGGCCTTCACTGTGAAAATGAAAACTTCTGTATGTGTAAGCATGGTAGGGTGAGTGTATTGTCCTGTTTACTGAAATCTTGCTGTGAATTAAAATTTCTAATTTATATTTCTTGGCTGAAGAACACAGTAAGAGAAATAAGTAACAGCAAGAACAAGGTTAGCAGTCTGTTTGCCAGTGTCATGTGGCTTACATGTTTTTGCTCTGTGGGGCATCTGTATGCTACTAAATTTTGAAGGATGTGTGAACATTGAAAGATTATTTTAATTATTTTTTTTAATTTTTTTTTGGTGTGTGGTGGCCATTTGAGAAGGCAGTGTTACTATATTAGAGGTCTTCCTTGAATAATTTTCAGGTGTTTTCATTTCTTTTCCCATGGAATGTATTTCAGTCTTCAAGCTTGTCTAGAACAATTTGGGAGCCTTTATTTTGCATTTTGATAGAATACTTGTAGAGCATAAAAATTACTAACTTATTTTAATATTTTGTGAAATATTTTGTGCCTCATCTATTTTTATGTATGGAACCATGACGAGCAATAGGATGCTGCAATTTAGAAGTCCCCCTTCCATAATGTCAGGTACATTGTTAGAGTAGAGGTCAGATATAATGTGCCAAAGAAACTTTGTCCTAATTTTTGTTTATTTGCCATGACACCTGCTACTTATTTTAATTTTTCTTAACAGCTTTAGAATGAGGAGAAGAATTTCTTACCAGTTTGAAACATTACTTGCCTAAAGTAAGAACTGCTTCAACAGGAGTTTTACAATCAAACAAGACCATCTGGTTTTATGTTTTAAAATGATGGTCATTTCTTTGTCTAATTTTTTTTACTTTTTTTGGTGACTCTCCCTGTAAGATACTTGATGGGACAAAGTAAGATATAAGTTAAACAACAGTATTATCCTCTGAATATTAGTATTTTGGAAGGATTTCACCTGTTATGTGAAGAGAATTTATAATGAATCTAGCTAACTGTGACTCATATGTTAGTTTTTAGCAGTTCTTTACTGGTTAATGTTTTGCCCAAAGACAAGGATTTAAGTCTCGGATAAAATAACCAGAAAACATATTAGGATAAGGGGAAACAAACCAGTGGATAATTCAATCAATGGTTTTTAAAGGCTTGATGTTTGTAAGTTTTTAGTTTGTGGTTTGGTTTTTTGGTTAGTTTTTTTGTTTGTTTTCTTTTTTTCTTTCTTAGACCAGTAATTTATACTATCTTTAATGTCAGTGGACTTTCTGCCCATCATAAGAAAGCTTTTAATTTTTTTTAATTTTTTTTTTAGCCAGCTGTCAGCAGGGTAGTACACATGTCTATGTGTACGCATTTCTACGTGCAGAATACACATAGAGTTGTTTTACTGATGAGGTATCCTAAGGTGATGAATTTACTTTTCAATAAAACCCAATTTTCGTATCGATTTGTTTTTGGTCATCCTTGAACAATCTTAGAATTAATTGTCTGTTTAGTAGATGTAGTACTTACATTCTATGATCTGAAAAAAATAGAAGAAAAAAGGCAGGTATTGATCTGGGATAAATGTTTGGGTTTATAAAATAAATGTTCTTAAAACAGAGCTCGTCATTTTGTACACAGAAGTCTGTTACTGTGTAACAACCATTATTGAAACATGATAAAGAAATTAAAGAAAAGAAAGCATGAATTCAAACCTTTCTGGTCATAGCTAAAAAGCTAATGCCTGTAGAGTAATTGCAAATCCTTAAAAACAGATTATCTTTCTGGATGTTATATTGCAGCGTATGATGTTATTGAAGAAAGAAATGATTTGTAAACAACCTTTGGCAGAAGGCAGAGAACTTAATTTTGTTCAAATAAGAGAGATCGACATTAGAATTCATGCGCTGTCTCAAGACTGGCAAGCAGTGACAGCTATTCTGATGTATGCACTAGCGCATTCATGATTGCTTAAGTGTTAAGTGCTCTGTGAAAATATAAATATGGCAGAAAGAGTGGTAAACTTCAGGGGGGCTGCTGTAGTAATTCACTGAAGGTAAATCTTTTTACCTGTTGCTGCATTTGATTACTATGTATGAATGATCCAACTGCTATTCTGAACCCCTGTTGCAGCAGTTACTATCTCTTATCAAGGACAGGAGAACCCTCATAGTTTTATAAAGTTATGCTAGACAAATTTAAATGAAAGAAAAGAGGTTTGCTTTAAGCATATGCAGGGTACAATGTCTGTTCTTTCTGTGGTGAATTAATGTAAAGACTAGCAGCAAGCATGCCTCTGTTTTAATAAAGCTTTTGTAGTATTTTAGCTGGATCGATGTGTGTTTTATATAATAAGCAATATTATGTTACTTCTTGTCCATACTGCAAATAGTACAGGACAAGCTGTTTATCTAGTTTGAATATTACCGACTAGTATATATTTATTAATTGTCTACCAGCCCCTTTTCTATTAAGGTGTGAAAAATTTCTAGGATATGAAAAGTTATATGATCTCATAAAAATCAACAGAAAGTTGCGGTTTTTTAATAGCTATAACAATCAAATATCACTCTACTGGTAGTTAAAACATACATAAGTTTTTCCTTATGTTGGCTGTCACTTTTAACCTTCACCCCTAAAAATTTAAAAAAAAAATTCCTTTTTTAAAAAAAAAAAAAAAAAAAAAAAGGCAAATTCTGAAAGTGGGTTATGGTGTGATTTGCATGTTTTAAATGCTTTACCAAGATACTACCTGTAAAGGGAGATTTTTTTTTATATTGATGTTATTTCTGAGCTACAGACCTAAACATTGTATTCTGTATATTACTTGATTTGAATGGGTGCACTGTGAGTATATGTTCTGTGCATATTAGTCTTTAGTCCTTTCCCAATGAATCTGATAGTATTGACCACTTGAATTGATGCTTCAACATTCAGCTGGAAGCTGCTTTGTGTTGGCTACACTTATCTAGTGATTTTTTTAATTTTTTTTTTTTACTAAATGTGTTATTCCCAAATTCTGATTCTCTCAGATAAAAACTGACCATAGAATCAAAACCTGTAACTGAAATTTTTCACACTACAGTGTTAGTGTCATCTTTAAAAATAAATAAATTGGAACACCTTAAGTCAGTGACATGCATTGTTAATGTTTTGCAAATGCCATATATACAGACACTGCTCTGTAAAAGCTTTTATGTTCCAGTGTGTTAACACTACTAAAGGTGTAGGAGTAAAGCAATTACTTGTATTCCAAATGGTGAAATTCATTACTGTTGGTGAGTTTTGTTGGTTTACTGAGTCTCGGGGAACTATCATGATTTCTCTAATATGGTAATGCTTTGAGAATTAAAAGGATGAAATACAGAAGGCATAATGGAAAACCATTTCAAAGGCAGGGATTTTTAGGATTCACAAACTTGTGTTCCAATACATGTATGTATTAGGTGGGAAGCAAAATCCTTTTTTTTTTAACCCATTGTATTTGGTTTTGTTTTTAACATACCTAGGTCACTAGCAAGGAAATTCTGGCTACTTCTAAAGATATGACCCTTTGTACAGTCCACCTTTTCCTTTTGCACTGATTTAAGTCCATATGTAACTGGATTCGTGAGGCTGGAACACTTAGGACTGTGAAACGGGTGTCATTTTTCCTTTTTTGCTCCCATACTAACCCATAATATCACTTGGAATTTACAACCCATAGAACATTTCATTGAAGTATGTGTTTTTGTTTGAGTTGTCTGTTAAGATGTATTTAAGAGCCACCATACTTGAAAAACAAAAAAATTTTAATCATTCTTTACTGTAAATCTTAGCTTCAATTATCATCTGTGAAAGTAATGAGTAAAAGTACAAGTAATGAAAAGAAGGGGGAAAAAATATTGATTTTTTTTTCCATGTTTTGCTCTTAGTCTGCTAATCCAAATAAGACATTTCTTTAGTTGAAAAGACATTGACTAAATGTCAGCTGCCTGAGTTGTTTTTTTAAATAGCAGTCTTTTGATGAGAAACTAGATATTTAGTCTTGATTTTCTGTTTATTAACCTTTTAACGTAGCAGAGGCCATAAGTGTTTTTGTTTGTAAATCTAGCATTTTAAACTTGACCTTTCCCAGAGCTCTTGCTTATAAAAGGACAGTTTAGCTTTATGCTGAAGGAAAATAATGGTGTCGTAAAGTTGATTTTTGTATTTAACGCGGTGATATTGTGATGTGCTGCATGCAAAGTCCTGCACTTGGGACAGGCTTAAACTGCTGCAAAGGTGTTGTCTTGAGAGCAGGAAGCAACTCTGCAGAAAACCTGGAGTCTGTCCTAGTGCAAAACCACCAGTCAGTAGTGTGCCCTGGCAATAATGAAGGCTAACAGCATCCCTGGCTTTGTTGATAGGGGCATAGTCAAGAGATCACAGGTAGTGAATTTTTTTGCTGTTAACTCAAAACTTGCTGGGTTGCATCTGGAACACGGTGTTCAATATTCTGTAGAAAAAAAATCTTTTTTTGTTAATAAACTTGAGTGAAAGACCACCAAGCTGGTCAGGGGCTGGAGCACTGAGGAAAGGCTGATGGAACCGGGCTGGTCCAGCCCAGAGAAACAAAGGTTTTGTGGGGTGGGGGGAACCTGTAGCAACCTTCCAATAATACCAGGTAAGTTACTGTGAAGGTGGAAACAAGCTTTTTAGCAAAGGGTACAGCAAAAGAATGAGAGAGAGAGGTCATCAATTGAAACTAGGGACACTTTAACTGGATATGAGAAAAACAAATTTCACTTTCTGAAAAGATGGCTTTTAAATTCAAAATACCCAGAACTGTCTTCTCCATAGAGTAAAAAATGTTAAATTCTACCCAAGAGTAAAAAGGGATAGGAGACAAAAATACAAGTGTACTCTGTGAATACAAAGTATGTAAAGACACAGCCATGCTGTTGTTAGCATTCCAGTTCCTGTCTTTCATTTCTATTTTTATATTTAAATAATATCTGCTAAACTACACTCAAAACCCACCTAGTTTCCCTATCTCCTCATTATATTAGTAGGCTTAGAACTTGATTTTTAAAGTATATATTGATTCTAAAGATCAGAGCTACATGTTACCCATTGTGTCTCTCAGCTTTTGAAATCATGGATGAATGTAGCTGAGATGTGTTTCTCAACTGGGCCCAAGAAGTGAATTTGATGCAGTTGTTTATGATCTGGATGACTGTTTACTACAGGTTTTAAACAACTCAGCAGGTGCTAATATTAACTCATGTTAATATGATATTACTGTTAGTGACAAAACATGTTTCTGTTGTAATCTGAAGGCAAAATAATTTTGTTTATTTAGAAAAAAAAATGCTTTAGCCACTTGATGATGTCAGAGAGATCAAAGACTCTAAATCTCTCAGTTCTTGTTCACAGACAAATTGGAATGCAATTTCTTTTTACCGTGCAGATGTTTAGCCACTAAATCTACAATTTTTTCAAGTTGGAAAAACTTCTATATATGTAACACATTAAAACCTTTTAACTGCATACCATTACTGAGCATTGTTTAGTCTTTAATCACTGAATCGATATGAATTAAATTGCTTTCTTAATTGCCTAAATACCTTATATTTTTAAAAGCCTGTTTTTCGACTGCACTCATTTATTCTTAACAGGGTAATCCTTAAAGCTGAAAGGCCTGTATTAAATTGAACATCGATGGCAAGCCTGTCACGAGGATTATAGAATTAGAACTTCTAGTGATTTAGAGAATGAGAAAACAAATAGGAGATTTTACACACACATTTATGTATTCTTCTTAAATAAATCCTTGATTTCATTTGTTGTGTATGTTGTAGCTTCTGTATAAGAACTGTACTAGATGAGTTAGTAAAATGTGGTTTAAAAAAATCTTTACAGGTATACTTGTGATACTAATTCTCTATAAGAAGTGAAGTACACTCATCTCAAACTCTTGCATACACCTACTTTCTCTGTTGCCTTTGTAAATAAGGGGTAATGTCTACTTCCACTAAATCTTCAGTCAACTCAGACATTCATTCTTTATGTTTGCATAAAAATGGAGAAACTAAATTTGGACTTAAATTCATTTTCTCATTCTCTTAAGTTCATGATGTTCCTTTGCATATACACATGCGCTCTGCCATGGGATTTAGCCACATGTATCTATGTTTACTTGGAAATTTGCCACTAGCCTTGTATTTTTAAGTTATTTCAGAATTATTTTTTAAAAACTATAAACTGATTCTAGCAGTTAATGCACTTAGGTTAATGGAGAACAGAGGGTCTTATAACCTTCAAGAAGACTAGTTTATTGCAGACCACTGAAAATCGCCTCTGTCATTGAGAGGATAGTGAAAATACGCAACTACCTATTTCTTCACACTGTGCACATATTTCATGCAGCTTTTCATAAGTAAGACTGGATGTACTATATTTCCTTTACCGGCAGTTAGGATTACCTTTGCTTTTCTGTTGTCATTTTGTATTCCAGTAAGGTGGACTGCATTCATTTCGTGTGCCTGTATAGAATTTGTGTGAAAGTCTTTAGGATAGAGAAGTATGCTTTAGATTTTGCTGGAATAAAAAATTGTGGATATATGACAAGGAGTTTCTTTAACTTGACTGGTAAAAGAGCAAATTCTGGCTTTTAGCATGCTGTCCAGCTATGCAGCATTTCAGAGGGATTCCTTTAGAAATCTGGCAGTGGGGAGCATTGAAGGAATGAAATACATTCTGTTCTGTTTAATCTCTGTTCACAGCTATTTTTTTTTTTTAATCACAGCGAGCGTTCTGAACTGGCATTGCTAAAATCTCAGAACTTTAAGGGTCTGTCTTCAGGTTTTGTTCTCAGCATAATTAATTATTCTTTAAAAAATATAGTATGGGGATAGGTTCCCTTTGTAGTCTTAAAATATAAAGAATTGGAGAAATTTCATTTTTTCAAAAATTTATTTCATTTGCAGGCAACAAGTGTAGGTAACTTTTTGTTAATGAGTTTACATCTGCAATATTCACTTTTATTTAAACATTTTACTAAAAAAAAAAAGTAATTTTTTTCCCCCTCTTTTTCTCCTGTGTTCACTTTCTAGATTCGAGATACTAAATCATCAGATCAGAAAACAACCCTATTGCATTTTCTGGCAGAAATCTGTGAGGAGAATTACCGGGACATCTTAAAATTTCCAGAAGAATTGCAACATGTTGAGAGTGCAAGTAAAGGTAAGCAAATAGATAAAGCACCTAAAGGTAATAGCTGTTTGCTTTGACATTAAATGCTTCCAACGTTTCATTTTAGATTGTAGGATTATGTAACCTGTAAGCATTGATAATCCATGTGGATTTTGCTTTTCTGGTATTTATTGACCTGAGAAAAAGCGAGGAAGGGAAAAACAGTAATGAAGTAGCTTTTCTTGTGAAGTAGGCTGTGGAAATAATACAGCATATTTCAGTGAAGTACTTAAAAAATAAAATCACATATCGGAAGCCGTGTAAGCAGTGTAATGATGATGTTTAGTTTACCATAAAGCCTTTGAAGTCTTGTTGCTTGAGAGTGAACACCGGTGTGTGCATGCGTGCATATGTGTATGCACACAGTATGTGTCTCATCTTAACACTTGATTTAACACCTGAATAGAGAATAACAAATATGCTTTCTAAAGATCCCAGACTGTATATGCAATATGTAGTTTAATTAAACTGTACAGTCAATGGTTAATACTGATTTTATTCTTGGTCAGTCAGCAGTATAGCTTGGTGAATGTGGTAGAAAAGAATTCATTTGTTGGATGTCTTTCAGTGTGAAATATGCTGTGTTGCTGGGTGCACTTGTTGCTTAACTATTGAAAGTGAAGGCTATGTTATAGCGCTTCATGAAGATAAAGCAAACCGTTTTACTTTGACTAGTCTTTACTGATTCATCCGAAGATAAATACTTGGGGTAGCACAAGAGTATGAAGGGAAAGAGAGGGGAAAAGGAGTTGGATATACTTTTCTGCTAGCTCTATCCAGGTTTTCTCTTGAAAACTTGTCTCCTGTTCTTCAGTGTTTTCAGTCAGTGTTTCTTTTCAGTGCAGTGGTTAGCTGTTAGATAGATACTTTTTTTAATTAGGCCATAATTTCCTTTCAGTTTGTCTTCTATATTAAACTTTGGTCTAGCGAGAGCAGAACTCTTGTTTCCCAAAGGACTTGGGGAATAGTTCATCGATCAACCTAACTTTGCAATTGTTTCATCTCCAGTTTATTCACAGATTTATGTGGTTGTCATACAATTTTTATGCTGTTTCTCAAACTTCGCCAAGTACCTTTCCATGGGTCTTTTTCTGCATATAAACTAAATTTTATTTGTATTGATTAAATGTCTTCATGCTTCACTTTCCTCTTTGCTGCTGAATACTTCAGTGGCACGAATCATAGAATGGTTTGGGTTGGAGGAGACTTTAAAGCTCGTCTAGTTCCAACCCCCTTGCCGTGGGCAGGGACACCTTCTACTAGACCACGTTGCTCGAAGTCCCATCCAACCTGGCCTTGAACACTGCCAGGGATGGGGCATCCACACCTTCTCTGAGCAACCTGTTCCAGTATCTCTGCACCTTCCCAGTAAAGAATTCTTTCCTAATTTCTAATCTAAAGCTACCCTCTTTCATTTTAAAGCCATTACCCCTTGTCCTATCAGTACACATCTTTCTCGTAGGCCCCCTTTAAGTACTGGAAGGCCACTATAAGGTCTCCCTGGAGCCTTCTCTTCTCCAAGCTGAAAAACCTCAACTGTCTCAGCCTGTCCTCCTAGGGAAGGTGCTCCAGCCCCATGACCATCTTCGTGGCCCTTGTCTGGACCCGCTCGCGCAGGTCCATGTCTGTCTTATGTTGGCGGCCCCAGAGCTGAACACAGTACTCCAGAATGCCTACTGACAAAATGGAACTGGTCTGTCTATGTAGGTTTGAGGATGGTATTGTGTTTTAAGGCAATATAGAGACTGAAGAGGTAACTTGTACATTACCATCGTGAATGTACCTGTCCTGGTTTCAGCTGGGATAGAGTTCATTTTCTTTCTAGAAGCTGGTATAGTGCTATGTTTTGTGTTCAGTATGAGAATAACGTTGATAACACACTGATGTTTTCAGTTGTTTCTAAGGAGTGTTTAGATGAAGTCAAGGACTTTTCAGCTTCTCATGCCCAGCCAGCAAGAAGGCTGGAGGGGCACAAGAAGTTGGGAAGGGACACAACCAGGGCAGCTGACCCAAAGTGGCCAAAGGGGTATTCCATACCATGTGATGTCATGCCTGGTATATAAACTGGGGGGGAGCTGGCCTGGGGGAATCGCTGCTCAGGAACTAACTGGGTGTCGATCGGCAGGTGGTGAGCAATTGCATTGTGCATCACTTGTTTTGTATATTCCAATCCTTTTTATTGTTATTGTCATTTTATTATTGTTATTATTATAATTCTTAGTTTCTTCCTTTCTGTTCTATTAAATTGTTCTTATCTCAACTCACGAGTTTTACTTGTTTTTTCCTGATTCTCTCCCCCATCCCACTGGGTGCGGTTGGGGGGCTGAGGAGAGTGAGTGCGTGGCTGTGTGGTGCTTAGTTACTGGCTGGGGTTAAACCATGACAGTACCATAGTACCATATATATATACATACATATGTGTGTATATATATATATAAAAAATAAAGGTGCATGCTTAAACAGTGTACAGCTGGCTGCTTACATCTGAGCACTACTATGGATATTACACAGAGAATTTATACAATTGCTTTTAATTTTGCTGTTTGCTGTCAATGTTGTTTGTTCCTAGTCTCTGATGTGGAGGCAGATACCTTCCTCAAACTGACTTTTTTTTTTTTCTTCTTTTCTCGCCCAACCTTACCCAGTAAGTGTCACTGGTCCAGCCAGTGTGTTCTCAAGGATTTATGATAGAGTATCATAGTGAGTAATTTTATTTATGCAAATAGCAGTTTGTCATCTTATCTAAATTCCAGAAATGTTTTCTACCACTTAATAATTCTTTTCTGGAGGTGATTTTTTTTGTTTGTTTTAAGTTTAATCTTTTACTTTCTGCATATCTTAAATTCTTTACAAAGCCTTATGGTTTACCAGGCACATTTGATGATCTTTTATTAATTTTCTCTTGTGGCTAACATTACCTTGCAGCTTTGAGGTTTTTATAGTTTGATTCAAAGCCTCTGATGTTCTGTAACTTGACTTGAGGAATTAAACCAGAAGAGTTAGTAAAGTTTAGTTAAGCTACAGCATCCAAAAGAGAGAAAGCATATTAATGGAGCAAAGTCGCTTATAATCCTGATGCTTAGAATACATGTGAAAAAAGGTTTTATTGCAGTTAAATTTGTTTCATTCTGTAAGATAAAAGCTCATTGTGTTTCCTATAAACAGCACTGACTTCTAATCAGAAGCATAAACTACTGTTCATTTTTAATGACCAAAACTTCCTTTTCAGCCCTTCTCTGCTTTCTGTAACAAAGCAGATTTTTGGCAGAATAAATGTGATTTGTGCAACTTGCTTCAACTGTTCCCCGTGGTACTTTTTGGTTTTTGTTTAATTGTAATGTTCATCTGCTCTGTCCTGTGTGGTCATTTTTTCTGTATAGGAAGTTAACATGCTTAGTGGTAAGAGAAGATTTTCGCTTCCTATTTATTGTTTGGTGTTTTATAAACCAGTGGTTTCAGGGATGGACAGTTGGGTTTATTTTTCCTGTAGGAGGCTTCTTTTGGAATAAATTGGCTGCAGATATGAGGACGTTGGCATCAGTTAGTTATACATAAAATAGAAGGAAATCTACCAGCAAATATTATCTCTGTATGAATTTAAAATAAGGAAATATGAGCTAAAGAAGTGACAGTCTGATTACTTGAGATGTATGCTTCTTACTTTTTAGGCAGAAGGCAGCCTCGTAGTTTGAACTGTACATAAAATTCCAAATACAAGACTTATCACAATCAGCTTCTTTTGAATCTTGGGTGCATTTTCTCAGTTCCACATAAATAAGAAGAAAGTCTTGTTTTGCTTTCATTTTCACGTAAGAATAAAGAACCAGCATCTGAACAATGGATGATTTTTCTTTTAACAAATAGCAGATAAAGCATAAAACTGGATTTTAATATGAAAAGGTCAATGGGATTAGATGAACTGCCCCTGCATGTACTAAAATCTTTGATAATCTGATATTAGATATAATAAAATATTTGATCTTTTTAAAGATGGAAGATCAACCTAGAGGTTTATGAAAAGTAAAAATAAATTAGGAAACAGTTTTATTCTGGAAAGTATAAGCAAAGGTCAAACTGATTAACTATCAAGAGATTATTGGAAAAGCATTCCTTCTTACTTGAAGCAGACTGTATGAAAGGGAAACCAATAATAAAATGACAAGATTGTGACAAACTGGATTCTTCGATGGAAGTGATATTCACTTACCTTCCCCCAGCCTGCAGTGTTTTCCTCTTGTTCCCCAAGTGTTGAAACTATGCAAAGCCATTTTTCATATTTCTACTTTGTTCACTTTACTTGTTATTCCAGTTGCTGCTTTTCATGGTATTTGCTCTTACCATCCTATAATCTGTGATTTTATTAAATACCTGACAAATTCCTATCCCTTTCTGTAGGTTCAGTCAAACATAACCTCAAAACAAATACAAGAGGTACCTTACTAAAGTCAGATAACCAGTTTGGGATTTCTAAATAAAGTTATGTTGTAAAAAGTGTAATTTGGAATTCCTTAGAAAAGATACATATTTTTTTAACTTGAACCTCCTCTGAGTGTCAAGCCTCCCAGAAATCATAAAAAAGAAATATGTAACATGCAAAATTAAGAGGAAGAACATCATCATGTATTTTATAACAACTTAATTTCAGATTTTAAACGAGCAACAGTTATAAATCACAGTTCATGGTTTAAACGTTGTGACTGTATTTAAAATAAAACATAACTTATCTTTGTCAGTTGAACATTGTGTCCAGCTCCTCCTAAGTTTAACAGTTCCTGACATACTTACGTTACCTACTTGCTTTGTCTGCCAACAGTGGGAATTGCTAGGCTGTGTGAAGTCATATGAAGTTTTGTGAGCTTGTGTCGTCCCACTGGTGTTTACTTCAGAAACGATTGGATATAGAATGCTGTTATCTGTAGTTGGCCATTGGCCATTCTCTGTGTTCTCCTGACATGTTGGACAAGTTAAAGTGATACCTTATATGTATAGAT